CACTTGGGAGCTGGAGCTGAAGCCCTGCACTCTGGGTCAGGAGTTTCCCAATTGCAGCTTCCCCCCGACCTGGCTGGGTGTTTGGTGCCTAGTGTACATCCATACAGCTGCTCTCGCTCCCCCGTGCTACCTGTTTCCAGAGTAGTGGAGCAGGGGCAGAAGGAGGAACCACTGGAGTCAGGGGAAGCTTAGCAGTACCTGGGCAGCTGCAGCTGTACTGGGAACAACCCTTCCAGGAAGCTGTGCATGCTGGCTGGGGCTGGGGCTGTTGGTGGGTGCAGGCGAGTGTGTGGTGTGGGCTGCCCTAGGTGGGAGCGGGAAGACCTCAGCCACATGCAGAGTGCTGTGGGGGCAGCTGCAGGCTGGATAAAATTAATTGGCTAGCAGGATCCAGCCCATGGCCCATCCCTGGTTTAGAAGGACCAAGGTATATCACAAGGATATGATATACCTTGACTTTAGCAAAGCTTTTGGTACTCTCTCTCATGACATTCCCAACACTGCCACTGCCTGCCCCAATTGCAGCCAGGCCCAGCCTCCACCAGGAACAGCCCGGCACAGCCCCAGCCTCAGTCTTCAACAGCTCACCCCAAGGAGCACATGCCCCCCCATGCCCTCCTGGGGCGCATGCTGCAGTGGGAGCCACCCTCCCCTGCACCCCTGGATGAGCCACAGCTTTGTCCTATGCTTTGCCCCACCCCACCCCAGCTGGGCAGCACCTGCCCCTGCCCCAGCCCCACTCACAGCGGGGGCCTTGATCTGCCCCCCCGCCACACACCCCTTCCCTCCACCACAGCAGACTGAACAGCCAAACCTGGCTGCTCTCCTCACTGTGGAGCTGCATATTGGAATTGGATCAGTATCGGTTGATACGGCTTGTTAAAAAAATTGGCCAATGGTGTTGGCCCAAAAATTCTCTATCAATGCACCCCTAGTACCCATCTCACCAATGCCTCATTGTCTAGTTGGGAGGAAGTATCAAATGGTGTTCCTCAAGGTCTGTCCGACAGTGTTTAATATCTTTATTAATGATGTAGGACATTGGCTGCTATAGTTCCCCTGCTTCGCCTGTGGCAAGTTAGGGTGCTGGTTCTATGTCAGGGTTGATAGTAGTCTTATGTATAGTTTAGATTATGGATTGTATAAGATGGTTTGGATAGGGATGATCTTGCCTCAAGCAAGGGGGGTGGACTGATGACCTCTGGAGGCTCCTTTTAGCCCTACTTTTCTATGATTCTGTGACCGAGTATATGCTTAGCAAATTTACAAATGACACCAAATGGAGTGGAGCTGCACTACCCTTTTGCCGGCTGAACTGCCTGCACCCTCTACTCACTGCAGCAGTCTGGCAGTGGGGGCTGCTTCCTGACTGTGATCTGCTGCCACCTGCAACAGCATCCACCCCCTTGGACCTGCAGCCCCATGGTTGCATGCCTGCCAGACCTGGATAAGGTGCCCCCACTCTGCCATCTGGGCAGCTATTGCCCAGAAACTGTGCTCATTATGGTGGCCCACTTTGAACTGTCAAAGCGTGTCCTCTTGGCCGCAAATGGCCAAGAGGTCAGCCATCTCGTCTGCCTGGCCAGAACTCTGCCTATTGAGTATGCTCAGTAGCAGTGTGGACATTTGTGCCTGCTGTGCCTCCACATCAACATAGAGTACATCTTCACCAGGCCAGATAACAAGGAGTACAATAGCCAAAGTTCATTCACCTACAACTCTGCCAGTATCATTTATGCTATCACATGCTTACAATTCCTACCTGCTGCCTACATTGGACAGAAAAGATGATCTCTGTGTGTAAAAATGAATGAACACTGATCTGGTATTAGGTGCAAAAAGACATAAAAGCCTAAGGCAGGACACTTTAATCTTCCTGTACAGTCCATTGCTGATCTCAGGATCACTATTCTTAGGAAGAATTTTTTTTTATAACAGTTTGAATGGGAAAACAAGAAATTATCTGTAAACTGGACCATGTTAACTATGGTTTAAACAGGGACTATGGTTTATTTTCTTATTACCTGGATTAACTTTTGTGACCCCTTTGTTTCTATGGGTTCTCTGCTTGTATCATTCTCATAGCAGGTCTCCTCCCCTATCCGTGCTTCCCTTCTCTCCTGCTTTCCCACCTATTGTAGTCTAATCACTCACTCCACTTTACACTTTGTTCTATGTTGTCCTTTCACAGCACCTGCTGAAGTAAACGTGGGTTAATGAAAGTTTGTGTTCTCTCTCACTATATATACTCTTATATACCTTATTTCACGGTGTATAGGTCAGCTAACCACTTGAGTATTTTGCCAGAGTCCACGTAGGTTTTGTGGGCTGCACCATGCTCAGTGGTGCCACAGCTGTACTGTTGATCCCCTTTACTGGTGACTGACCTCCTTTTAGTCACAGTTTGGACATAAAAGAATCAATGAACTCTCTTTCACATTGAAAAAAAATCTCACTTAAAAAAAGAAAGTGATGATCTAAAAGTTATAATAATTATTAAACCCCTTTAAAATTCAATTATACCCAGGGCTGAAAGCTAGAGAGGGCATGAAGAATACAGTACATTATATATGCAATAAGTATCATGAGAAGAAACACAAAATCTAATGGAAGTAAGCCCAGCCCCGATGACTTTTTTTTTTTTTTTTTTTTGACAATACACAAGAAAAAC